GGCCCCACCCTACCTCAAGGGGACCACGCCTGCGCCTTAACTCTGGAGGCGTTGCTGGGATTCGCTTGGCACCGAAAAGTGCTTGTGTGTGGGAGGCGGCACCTCCCTCACTTTGGGAGGGCTGTGTGTGTGTGTGTCTGTGTGTCTGTCTGTGTGTCTGTGCACTGGCCTCCCTAGATGTGCAAAATTGGCCACCCACACCCAGGGGCGCGGTACTTCTGGGCCCACACAGTTTCTGGAACCCCAGCTCCCAATAGAGAATATTCATGTGAATTTCAGACTTAAGTCCTAGTTGGGAAAGTAAGTGAGCCTGGCCAAGGAGGTCATCACACTCACCGCCAAGAGGACAGGCTTTCTGACCCCTGCCCTCTGGGCACCGCAAGTTCCCGAAGCAGGTAGCTGAAGCCTCCCTAACAGGACTGAGGAGGGCAGTCTCTGGCGGGGGCCATCGGGTGGGACCCCAACTCTCCCAGTGACTCACTGTACTGCCCTCTCGGGACCATCGTTTTCTTTTGCATGAATTCGGGTTCCATTTTCCCTGAGCCTCACCACTGCACCTCAGTTCCTGACCCAGTGCCTGACATTCAGTGGGCACCCATTGGAGGGGGAGTCCCAGCCCAGCTAGTGGGAGAAATAGATGTTTCTGAGGCCATTTGAAGTAAGGGAAGGACTGGGCCCTGCAGAGCTGGAGCTGGAGGGTGTGTTGGGGCTGAGGAGTGGGGTGAGTGGACTCCAAAGGGTGGAGGTGGAGCGTTTGGGGGAGTTTCTTCCCTCCCTCCCTCCCTCCCTCCCTCTCACACTGACAGCACCAGCCGTGTGCCAAAGATGTCACTTTGAACAGGGTTACTCAGAGACGCCAAGGAGATGATGTCCAGACTGAGATGGAGGTTGAGAAGCACCCCTCATCTGGGGTAGGTGGGGGGCAAAACAGGAAGGACTTTAGGTCTGTGGTCAACAGTGTCTCCCTTGGCCCTGGGGTTCTGTAGGCTGCAGCCGTGCCAGGCCTCCCATGGTCGGTGTCTTCAGTGTGAATGTGGGGTGGGCGGGCCCCATGAACCACGGACGTCTTGGAGCCTCAGTGGGGCTCCCTGAGCACGTGTGTTCGCAGCACACACACACACCCCCATTCTCTTGGGAGCTGTTGTTCAGACCCTCCGTCCACCACTGGATGGCTCCCTTGCACAGTTCTTGCTTTATCTCAGCTATCACCTTGGAAAAGCACCTTCTCAATAGCCAGATGGTGTTCAGTGCCCACCCTTCCCCTGCCCCACGACTCTAATTATCGCCCAGCATCACCCGTCATGGTGGGAAGATGCCGTCTTCTGTTCTCATCTGTGCTTTGTCTCCCTCAAACGCACATGCTCCTCTAAGACCGGTGCCTGGTTCACACCTGTGCCCTGGGCGGGGGCAGAACTTGTTTCAAAGAAGGGACCGCAAGCCACCATTGAGCTTGGGGTCAGCAGGCTAAGGGGATCTGTGGGGAAAAAAGCCTTTGAAAACAGAGCACGCCCCACAGGAGGTCGGAGGATGGAAAACTCTCAGCCACGTCTTTCTGCCTGGTTCTGTGGTAATTCTCCCCGAGGGGTAATTTGACTTGGTGCAATGGGCTCATCCATGGAAATCACAAAAAGGAAACACACACTCAGGTGTGCACAGATATACATACACATGCACACACAGAGAGGCACAGCCTTAGCCAAATACACACACACACACTCAGACACACACACTCACACACAGCAGCATAAGGCCTTAGGACGAGAAAGGCTCACCTGGGGCTGAGCTCATGAATCTGTAGGGTGGGAGGCCTTCAGGGTTGCTCTTGGAGTCCAGCCAGGGCCCCTGGGGTTCTGTGGATGAACAGATTAGGGTTCTGGGAACTAAGGTCGATTTGAAATGTATGTTGTCCTTGTACACAGAACCGTGGGATGGATGGGCAGGGCCAGGAAAACTGGTGGGAGGGCTGAGCACTGGGCCCCGGAACTCCACCACTGAGGCCAGGAGGGGTGACCAGCCAGGATACCGGGGAGGAAGCGAGGAGGCCATGTCAGCGTCCCAGGACGGCAGGACGCATGCTGTCCTGTGCTACCTGGCAGGTGAGTGGGAGGCTGACCACTGACCCCAGATGTGGCCACATGGGTGTCATTGGTGGTCTTAACTGGATGACCCTGTGCAGCGGGGCTGAAAGCGTCAGCAGTCCCGAGTAGAGCAGAAGTGGTGGGGACCAAGGAAACCAATCTTCTGAGGAGCTTTGTGGGAAAGGATGAGGCAGGTGTGGCTCGGGGCAGGGCAGGACCAGCCCTGGGTTCTCGGAGGAGGCCTGGGCAGGAGCCACAGTCTCCACTGCACCTCCTCACTCTGGGCTCATCCGGGGAAATTCACCTCCAGTCTCAGCCACTGCCCTGCATGGGTGACAGGAGGAGGCTGGGGCTGCAGGAGTGGGTACACTGTGAGGCCCTCACAGCAGGCGCTGGGACTGGACCAGAGGACAAATTGGGTGTTCCCAGGGAACCGGGGTAGGAGGTGTGTTCCAGGCAGAGAGATGAGGTCCCTGGGGACAGATGTGGGGGAGATGCCACCTGCCTTTTAGCAGTTTAGGGCAGGTGGCATCTGCCCAGGTCCCCCCACCCTCCAGCTGCTCTTTGAGTCCAGGTTAGAGCGGCCTCGGGGGAGGTGAGCCTTGTGCCCTGAACCCCACGGGGTGTGCGAAGCTGCCAGCTGGCCTCGTTCAGGGGGCATGGTTAATCCTTTCTGGCAGGAGGGGCTGTGAGTGGGTAACTGGAGAGGTGAGTGCAGGGAGTGGCCCCTCGTGTGGGAAGGGAAGAAGCAAGCAGGTCTGTAGATGCTGTGTGGGGGGTGTGGGGCAGCACTGGAACCTAATGCAGTGGTCACCTGTGAAGTGGGCACCCGGACGACTGGGAGGGGCTGGAAAGGAGACTCATGCCAGGAAGCTCAAGGTATGTGTAATGGTGGTGGGGGGAGGGCTGTACCAGGAGCTGAGAGGCCGCCAGCAGCAGGGTGACAGGGGGTCCTGCCCTAGTGGCCAGGGAGTCATCCAGGAGGGCCTGGCATGCCTCCTCCTTCCGGGACACCCCAGCCTGCCTCCCCCACTGCACCCGCCCCCACCTCTGGCCTGGCCAGCCAGTGTCCAGCCTGGTGTGGAGGAAGGAGGCCCAGAGGGACCTGCCCACCAGCTCAGGTCTCACGCCTACACCCCTGCAGTGTTTTCCTAAGGATTACTCATCCCAGACCCACCAGGGAGGCTCCGGGGCTATTTACCAGGCCAGCCTTGGCCACAGGCTATTCTGGGAATAGGGGAGGGGGGCCAGGTGGGGGCTTCTTTCTGGGCAGCAAGGAAGGGGAAGGGGTCTTGGTCTTTACTGCACATCCATGTGTGGGTTTTAACCCCTGTCTAGGGGAACTAGAGACCAAGGAAATATTCCTACCCACCTGTTCCTGCCTGGGACTTGGGGCTGATGGGGCAATGGGCCTGGGCTAGAGGGATTTGCACTGACCACCAGCAGGAGAGACGCCTCCTTATGAGAGGGGCAGTAAGACCAGTGTTACCTGTGCTGGGTTTGAGGGGCTCTGAGGGTGGTTGCAGCGGGGGACTGTTCTGTGGACCAACGTGGCTCCAATGGCCAGCATACCAAGCGCCCCCTTGCTGGTCCTTGGGCCCCACAGCCACAGCCTGAGAGGCCTTTGGAAAACAGAGCCCCTTTGTTCTGATGAAAAATGACAGCTCAAGATGCCAAAAACTGAGTGAAAAAAAAAAGGCAGTAAAAAAGCTTGGCTTTATTTTGTACATTTTGTGTTGCTCACGTACACAATTCGTATTATTTTCTATCAGATCTGGAATAGCCACGAAAAACTGACCATCCACTGAGCATGAGGACAATTGTCACGAAGTTCCAAAGGCAGAAAGTCTGCAGTCTGTTCCCTGAGTGTATATACGCACACGGACATGCATGCACACAGACACTTCTGCATGTATAATCTAGTCTGGTCACTGAGTATGTGTATATATGTTATAGATACCCACATGTATGTATACAGGTACGTATGCATATATGAGGTCTGTTCGCTGAACACAATGCAGTTTAATAAAGGGGAAAAAAGACTAAGCTATAAAAATATTTCTACCTGGAAATTAATGCCACAAATAAAAACTCTGCTAGAAATAATTTGGGTATCATGCAGGAAACCGAAAGGGAGACTACAGACTATTTAGAAATGAATGCAAATGAGACCAGCACCTATCAGAACTGTAGGACGCCACCGAAGTGGCGTTCAGAGGACACCTGGAATGACAACTGCATTCGTTAGTGAACTAAGCTGTCGACTCACGACAACGGAAAAAGAACAACGAAATGAAGAGGAAGCGGATTCCTGCAGAACAAACCAAAAACTAATGCAACAGAAAACAAACCGCAGTGGAGCTGGCTCACATAACGAAAAGGCATTGCTCGGAAAAGACCCACGAAAAAGTCGACAGGTGGTGAAATCCGACAGGGAGAAAAGAGAAGACAGAACAGGGAGGGAGTGTGGCTGGACGTGTGAGTTCTTGGCCCTGCAGATTCTCGGCCTTGGGAGAAGCAGGGAGAGGACGGAGTTGTGAGAGTTTGGGGAGCTTGGAGGGGGCGCTCCCTGAGGCTCCCCGAAGGATGTGGATGGTGGCGACAGGCACCCGGGCCCAGCACCTGGAGCAGAGGTGGACTCAGCGAGGGCGTCTGCGGTGCCCCTCCTCCTAGAAGCTCTGGTGCGGGTTTGTGGGCCTCAGTGCTGGCTGGACCGGCTCAGTGGTGGTTCTCAGCAGGCACCGAAGAGAACACACAGGCGTCACAACGGAGACATCTTCAGGTCCGAACTGGAGGTACACAAGCATCATTTGCAGTGCTGCTTGGGGACCATCTGAATCATCCAGGGGCCGTGGTCCCTAGTAAGGGAGGGTCTGGGGAGGACCAGTACACAGCAATTGAAGACATATTAAGTTAGTTATCCCTTTGCTTTCAGTGATCAAGGGACATGACTAGGTGTCCACTGCTAACCTGAATGTCAAAAGCCAAAACTGATAAGACTTACAAAATATTTTTATCTCCAAGTTGCCAGTGGCATCATTCTGTCTTTTCCTGGGTGGAGGGGAGAAATTTTAGAAGGAGGCCTTTTGTAAAATTAAAAGGCATTAACCAAATATTATTTTATGCATGCATGT